AAAGATACATATTGCCCCAATTGTTGTTCGAATGAAGTATGAAGGAATGTAAGATCAAGCTGAAATGCCATCCTCCTGCTGAACTTTGATCTCATTTGATTTAAAGGGGGCAACCCTCCATGGTAAAGTAATATCTTCAATGAGCCGATTTTAGGAGGATGTCAAGTATTTGCATTGAAGTCCAGAGATTTTCTATATCTTCAGGTTCTCCAAACCTTCAAGTTTGTTGGTCTCCAAGTCCGCCCTCTGCCTTAAAAAAAAGGGAAGAGAAGAGAGGCATCAAAAGGAAACACAAGTATAAGGAAAAGATTGCTTAGCATAACGTTTTAAATTCAGTGAGACTTGAACCCAAGATATTTGTGAGAATATATATTTCGATTGATGGCAAGTAAGACATCTTTCAATCTCGAGGCTTCCATACCAAGATACAAAAGTTTTGGTGAAGTCGCGTAATCTGAAATCGTCAATGTGTCAGAATTTTACGTTGACTTTGGAATATTATCTGAAATTATCCTTATGGAATTAAATTTTGAATTTTTGGATTTGATTTAAATTTCGAATTTTGGTTTCCGAAAAATCAAACGGTTTATAATTTCGACATTTCTACACCAAGATATGAATTTTTTGGTGAGACTGCACAAATCTAGAATTGATAGCATGGTGCAATATAAAGTTGATTTCAAAATATTATCTGGGATGATTCTGAAGTTGTTTGATTTAGAATTTTGGATATGTTCTAGATCTTGAAGTGTAGTTTTCAAGAAATCAAACAATTCATAATTTTGACGTTTCTACACCAAGATATGATATTTTTGGTGAGACTGCGCAAATCTAAAATGTTCAACGTGGTGGAATCTAAAGTTGGGTTCAAAATATTATCTGGGGCGATTCTAAAGGTGTTTGATTCTAAATTTTGGATATATATTAGATATTGAAGTCTAATTTTCGAAAACTCAAACAGTTCATTATTTGGACTCCCCCACGACAAAATATGAATCTTTTGTTACAAGCGCTTAAAGCGGAAAATTATGCGACTAAGATAAAAGTCAGACAATGTAAAGCAAAAAAGAAGCTGAAACATTTAAGCCCTCAAAGTCTCCAAGTTGAAATCTTCAAGTTCTTCGGTCTTCAAGTTTCAGTCTTCAAATTCGCCGATCATAAAGTTGAATTGTTTAAGCCCTCCGAATCTTCGAGTTGAAGTCTGCAAACTCTGTCAAATCCTCAAAGTTTTCCAAGTGTTCAAGTTGATGTCGTCTTCGAGTTGAAGCTTTATAACTTTCCAATCTTAAGGTGGACATATGAGTCCCTTTGCACCTTAAGTTGGCCTCTTCAATAGTCGGGCCACATTGAGAGTAATCTCTCCGGTAGTCGGGCCACATTGAGAGTAATCTCTCCGGTAGAGTAATCTCTCCGGTAGTGGGGCCGCCTTAAGAGTAATCTCTCCGATAGTCGGGCCGCCTTGAGAGTAATCTCTCCGATAGTCAGGCCGCCTTGAGAGTAATCTCTCTGATAGTCGGGCACATTGAGAGTAATCTCTCAGATAGTCGAGCCACATTGAGAGTAATCTCTCTGATAGTCGGGCCATATTGAGAGTAATCTCTCCAATAGTCGAGTCATTGAGAGTAATCTCTTTGATATTTAGGCAGGGATGAGTATCCACCCCCTCACACCCTAAGACCGCCTTCTTCATGTGTGGATCATCTTGTTGAACAAGAACATATCTTTCTCGCTTGACCTACAAAAAAAAGGACAACAAAACGAGAAAAGCATAAGAAAAGAAGAAGAAATTACATTCACGTTAATGCTTTCGAGTCCAAAAAATAGACTCAAGTGGCTTGCGATGATTGCGAATTGATGCTCAACAAATACAAGCACATGGGTTTATATAGATGGCAAAAGAGAACATTGGGAAGTCTATTTCTCGATGTGGGATGCGTGATTATCAGTATTGGAAAAGAACTAGGTATCTTATTCCCGATTCAATTGGAAAAGCTGAAGCGGTGAAGGTCTCTTACCTACGTATGGTTGATATGTGAAAATTCAGTACTACTAATTAGTTCCTATAATCAGCCCCAGAACATTAATTTGAAAGAAGTTTGAACCGAACACTTTACTATAATTTAGCGCACATAAACAGAACATCATAATCTTGAAGAAGTTACGTTTAATTAGGATGACTTACGTGGAAGGCTGAAGAAAACCCAATTCACTTTAACTTTAGCAATTGCTACTAGTTAATGTGACAACTCTCTGCTACTTCACGTGACTAATATGGAAAATTCTTACTATTTCCTTCCACCCAATTGGAGAATGAAATCTCATCACTAGAAGGCAAAACTACATCAAGGGAATTAATAGACATGTGTAACTATGGTCCAATGCATTAACATACAAATAAGTCGCACGGATATTTATTAATTGCATATAGCATTAATTTAATACTTCAAGCCTAGTCTTAAAAAGTTTAGACACCCCAACAAGTCTTGAAGCATGGAAATTTGTAAGCATATAAATTTTATTAAAATTAAATTTATAAAATAATTTGGGTTATATTTTAAATTCAAGATATATTAGTCCAAATAAATACTACGGGCTAACACAATTGAATTAATTATATAAGTCCAATATATATGGATTAAATAAATAAGTTTTAATCCATTGGGCTAGCCCATTTAATTGGGCTAAAGTGACGAGCCCACTTTATTAAGCCTAAGATGTCATCTTCCTAGAGGCTTAGTTTGGTGTCACGTGTCAAATGACTTGGCGGGCCAAGTCAAATGGAAGAGCCAATAGGATCACGCCACATGTCAAAATGACAAGGCATGTCAAGTCACGCTAAAAGGTCAATGAAATCGCGCCACGTGTGTGTGCAAGTGATATATTTTGGCCATTCAAATGTGGCCATGTCACACTTCAATTTGATTGGTCGGAAAGAGTTTGTTCTTATCATAACTCTTCCCTCCCACAACTATAAATAGGGGTGTTCATAATCCAGAAAGGACACCAGAAGTTATAACAAGAAGCAAGAGAGAGCTCGTGGATCAAACGCCGCAAATTTCTCTACAAGTTTCAAGCTTCAAGCAATCAAGTTCAAGTTCAAGAAATCAAGTTCAAGCTCAAGAACGAAGAACGAATCAAGATCAAGTTCAAGCAATCAAGCTCAAGAACAAGATCATCGTTCGTGGCAACAAACATAGATTCAAGATCAAGCTCAAAGGCCCTTGAATGTATTTACTATTGAAAAGAAGAATCAGAAGATTCATAGAGATTGTAACACTCAAATATTTGAAGTAAAATACTATGATTGTTGCAATATTTTTCGGTCTTGATTTTATTTTCTTGACACAATTTATTGTCTACGTAAACATATGAGACATTATATTTGTGTAGTATCATATATTTTTGTCAACGCGTTTAAGTAGTCATATCACCTTTGATTTAGTTGAAGTACAGATTTTTTTATTTTTTTTCCTAATGGTGCATTAGCATAAAACTAAGTCATCTACTAAAATCATTTGCCAATTGATCCGTCTTAACAGATTCTAGTATTTCGTAGTTACCAATTAGCAATTTTTTTTATAGCCAAATCTTCCAAATCCCCATTGGGTAAGGTTTTTTTAGACCGTTAATAAATTCCTTAATGGGAAACGTAGATTAACTAGTTAGATCCAACTTGTTTGGATGGTTGTTATATATCGTTTCATAATATATCGTATAATATTATATTGTACTGTATTGTATCGTTTTGATGTATACAATATTTGGATAGATTGTATTGTTTGTCGTCGTTACATGATGTCATGTACCAATAATATAAAAGTGGCACACCAAATCAAAACAAAATAAGATTATTTTTTAATAAGAACGGACAAAATGGAAAGGAAAAAATAAGGTAGCAACGTGACCACACCAAATCGGTAGTTCCATAAAGTGGAACTTTTCGTTATTACGTAACAACGGATTTAACCATACGATACAATAAAATTTAAATAACAATCAAAACAAATATTGTATCTAAAGTAACAATACAATACAACAACTAACAACCATCCAAACAAATTATTTGAGAATTTCCATTTTCAGAAATTTGATAACTTTCTCTCCTTCAATATCTTTCAAATTTTATTGTATCCTCGCATATAGAGATAGAAATCAAGATCAACTCTTATGAGTTAACTCGTAAAGCATGGGCCTAAGCATTTCAAAGAAACATGCTATTGTAAAAAGGAAATTTGAAAGTATCTTAATTACTCATGTGATATAAAATAGATTATTTAGTATTAAGAAATTTTTTACTCATTAAAAAAAAACTGAATACATAACTGAATGGAAGTTAAGAAATTCTAATCATTTTTTTGGTGTTCTTGCATGCTATAATTGACTTACATGAGATTTTGGCCAGATACATGAGATGATCTCAAAAATTATTTAGATTCAAATATTTTGTACTACATCATACATTAAGTTTCATGATTACAGTTAAAAAAATGGAGTATTAATTAAATATTTACAAATAACAATGTAGTAAAGACTCAAATGTACATCTTTTCCCTTAGTCAGTTATATTTAATAAAATAATTACTCCATCCGCTTTATTTTATGTAATGGTGATTGACTAACCACGGAGCTAGAAATATTTTTGAAACTTGTGATCTTAAGTAAATCATGACATTTTTACAGCTATAAAAGCATATTAAAACATAAAAATATGCAATATTCTCTTTAAACAGCACAGAGGGAGTAATATTGAAATACTCCAATTACAAGATTTATTGTGACAACTAGAAACCAACAATAAATTTAAACCAGAAGAATTAAGATTTAATACGGCAGCTTCTCAAAGGAAGTTACTTGACTCTCGTTATCATTTCGACTTGTCTCTAAATCGCATCAAAATTTTCAGAAATTGGATACAATAATGATGGACTCAATTAAGTGAGGCAACAACAACAATTTAGCATGGTCAAATGAGTAAAACAACTGCAGTTAATTTATTTTGAGGTTTCAGAAATCAGGACAAGGCAAAATTTGGAATATATTTATCCTTATTATAATATCCAACTTTGCTTCCTAAGATAAAACAAAGTGTTTGTGCCAAGCTTGTGTGTGTATCGATTAATCCAACAGATACCTACTATCTCCGACCAACACAGGTACCATATATCTTACCAAGACTTGGGTAGATGTAAGATCTCACGTAGTGCTGCCTCAGTTTGGATTCAAATGTTGGTCCCGAGGTTGTCGACTTGCTGCTTCAACTATCGACTGCTAGGCCACCCCTTGGGGAAACTTATAGACCATAACTATGTCAATGCTCGACGTAAAACATTGAGCTACATATGACACAAATGGAAATAGATGAAACCAAATTGAGCTTTTAGTTGCCAAAAAATAGGGGATAGGACATGAAATAATTTCTAAAATAAGCTGACTAACTATTGATCAAACAGCAGATAAAATAACACGTTGGCTACTGGCGAAATTCCTGCCCAAGTTTTCTCAGAAAGGCACCTACTACAAAAACTATTAAACTACAACATGGTATGCCAAGCCCCTAAATGACCACCAAAACAGAACATAATAAAACAGCTAAAAATCATTAGAAGCAGGGTACAGATAAACAAATTTGAGTTCAGAAGGCAAGTCTTGATCGAAATTCTCCAACATTTATAAATGTGCAAATAGTGGAGGATGAGAAAAATATAGAGGTCCTGCCCATCAGAGAAGCAAAATATCCCACGAAACAAGGCTATAATTGAGGTTCTGGAAATAGGAGGAGGCCAAAATACTAGAGAAATGCTGAATAGTGGGAATGGGAGATGTTTCCTGGTTCTTGTATAGACTAGGAGAGTCAAGCTCAGAGTTCATCTGGTTAAAAGCTGGCAGAAGAATGGTAAAGGAATGGAAAATACTGAAACCAAATTTGCAATTTGTTATAACAAATTTACAATTCAAGACTGCTAAAGGAAATAAAAGGAAGCTGCTACATAATGCAAGTGGAAATCAAGAACAACCAAAGGCAGAGCCAGGATTTGAAACTCATGGGTTCAAGATTCTAGTTCTTTCAAGTTATTGGATTTTAAATTAGTAATTTGTACATATTCAATGGATTTCTTAAGATAAATACAGGATTTGAACGAAAACTACTGGCTTCGGCCGAACCAGTATAACTCTATGCTAGCTCCGCCCCTGAAGACAACAATATGTCAATATCAAATATTTTCTGGACATGACCAGGAGATAAAATGAGTTGTGAAGCTTAACACTTTGTATGTCTTTGGAAACAGCAAGATTGACTCATAGAGATATCCCAACTCTCCATAAGATGTTCATCATCCAGGTAACATCTCAGAAGTACGGCATTATTTAACAGCTGCTAGTAATCTTTGAAAAACAAGCTTCAATTATCTGATATGGCAAACAATTTTGCTCATGAAGGAAAAGCACATTGGTACCCGAGCAATTGATTTTTTTAGTATTTAAGGGTAAGTTACAGATGCTTAGGAGTAATGAGAACAAAGTTTTGTACAACTTACATTCTATCTTCTCGTAGAACTAATCATTGTTGCCATAACAAAACCTTTGGCAATGAGGTGTCTAGCTTCTATTTCTTGTAAAAACTTTACATTCTATCTTCAGTCCATAGAACTAATTATTGTTGCTTTATCAAAACCTTCAGGGATGAGGCGTCTAGCTTCTATATCTTGTAATAGTTTTATGATCGTTCCTTCTCTGCCGCATCTGAGAAGTGAGTTACATATTTCGGTTAACATACCCAAATCAGGGGTAATAGATCTTTCTAACATCTCTTTCAAGACTTCCAATGCTCCATCATAATCCTCATTCTTGAGGAAGGTGGACGTTAATAGAGTCAAAGTTGGCTTATTCGGGTGACAACCACCTCTGACCATGCTTTTATAGAGTTGAAAGGCACGGTCGGGATTCCTTCTTGCACACTGTCCACTAATCAAAGCAGAGAAAGTAGAGGAATTAGGAACCAAATTTGCCTTATCAAGTTCTTTGACCAAAAATGCAGCTTTCTTTGTCTTTCCCTCTTTGGACAGTCCCAAAATCAATGCATTGTAAGTCAATATATCACCCTTCAATCCATTGTTCGTCATCTCCTCAAAAAGCCGACTTCCCATTTCAGAATTACCAACCTGGCTATATGCATTTATCAATGTATTATACGTGACAACATTAGGAGCCACACCGATCCTCTTCATCTCGCTAAAAAGTTTGTTTGCTTCATGTAATTTCCGTTCTTTACATAAACCGTGAATAAGAGCGTTATAAGTAACACTATCTGGACATACCCCATTCTTCTCCATCGCACTCTTAAGTTTCAACGCGAAACTCAAGAGGCCGCGGTTACAATGTCCAGTCATCAAAGTGTTATAAGACACAACAGTCGGTTTCAAGCTTATGTTCTCCATTTCCCTAAAAACCTCAACAGCCTTTTCTAGTTTTCCCAATTTGGTAAAAGCACTCATAACCATATTAAAAGTGTAAACATTAGGCGAAATCCTTGAATGACGCATCTCCTTATAAAAACCCAATACAACATCTGTCCTATCCAAACTAAGCAATGAGCTCATAAAAGCATTGCAAGACTCAACAGTAGGAACAAAACCATACTGCTTCATACTACGAAATGTATCACTGGCATTTCTAAACTTCTTCAAATGAGCATGACACTTAAACAATGAGTCAAAAACACGCGGCGAAGAATCGCACATTCGATACGATAACAGTATAGCTTCAAATAATTTAGCAGGAAATTCAACACAACCTGATTTAACAAGCTTCCTCAAAATTGATTCAGCTGATTTAAACTTCTTATTCTTAGTAACAACATGAAGAACAATGGAATGATTCTCAAGGGTATTTGAATTAGGGTTTTTAACCTCAACCCAATTGAAGAATTCAAGTGACAAAACATAATCTTTTTGAATTTTCAATAAAATGTGCTTTACTCTAAATGGGGTTAAACCAGAAGCTAAAATCTCAAGCTTAGACCAATCAGAATGTATAAGGTGACTATGAGCTACATTAATAAAATCAAGATCTTGACCTTTAGGTTCAGAAATGGTTCTATGAGGCAACGGAATTGGGTCCAATTTTTTTCTTTGGTGGGTATTTTTGGGTAAATCAAGAAAGGTTGAAAATTTACGAAAATGTTTTAGACACTTCATTTCAAGAATTTTCTTGAGTTACCCACTTGAAATTTCATTGAGGGGGAACTGACCTTGTATGAAAAGAGAAATCTTTTTGCTTTTTCCTAAGTTATTGAAGGTGGACTTCAGTGTTTGAGCTGCGAAGGCAGGGTACCCATTTTCGTGAACGAAAGGGGATGATTTGATTTCTTGAATATAAACATTCGCCCACAATTTGTGACTTAATAGAAAATGTGTCCCCGGTATTTTTTGAAATTATATTTACTTCCCGTATCACCCTTGGGGGGATTTAGTCTTAATTTTTTTAACTAATTGGTGATATTTAATCTAGTATAGGAAGAAAGTATGAGAATTCACTGATTTTTTAGTTTGTGGAAAAGGAGGAATGTGGTAAAGCAAGAAAAATGTCAAATATTTAAAGCTGAAGAATATTTTCTTGCCCTTTCTTCTTTCTTTTATGTTTTAGTTTTTTTTTATTGTTTCTGATTTCACTTTTCTATTATATCCAGATAATATCATTACTGAAAGTCTCGAGATATCAGTCATCCTTTTATTCACTCAGAAATTTCTTTTTGGGAACAATTTTTCCCTAATAAATTGTGCTTGATGGATCTTTTAGGACCACTATTTAAATTTTGATCCCGTTAAAACAAGTCTTGAAAAAATGGCCTCCGAGCAGAATTTTGAAGTATGCTGATCAAAATTTTGGGAAGCCATCCTGGCAATCGCCTAATTTTGAAGTACAGCCACAATGCTAAAAGAATTGGCGAATCGTCAAGATTTGTGGCAAAATCGTGACGATCACTAGATTTTTTCAGCATGGCCTAAAAGATCTTGTGATCGTCAGAATTTTGCCATAAATTCTAACAATCACCATGAGTTGCTAGAATTCCGGCGAGCATACTTTAAAATCTAACACTAGAATATTTTTTCAAAACTTTTGTTCTCGGGATAAAAAAAATCAAGAGGAATTTTCAGAAATGACTATTGTTTAGTGCCTATTAACTTTCTATAGCTACCATATACATCATTACTTTCCGTAGCTACTTTTCAGTTGCTATAGTTTCTAGCTACTGTATTCATGAATACAGTAGCAAAAATTGGCTAAAAAATAGGGCAGTTCAGCTGTCAGCCGCTATATTTACATGTATTCATACCATGTATTCACAAATACAACATAATAATAGGTCTCTTCGATTGTTTAATAACGGAAAGCTGCTAATTTAATGGGGTACACTCCTAATATAACTCACCTAAATCAATTATAACACACAACATTATCAATCTAATTAAAATGAGAAGATTTATCAGATGTTAAACACAAAAAAATAGAGTATTCTTCAGACTTTCAGTCCCTCTTTTTTTCTAATACAGTTCAAGATTTTTTTCCTAGCATTGTTCGATGTATTCAAATTTATTTTTGTATTCACAATATTTTATTTATTTCTAATACATGGTATTACTGCTTTATTGGGTATATTTCATGGTTGTATTCATTGATTTTCCATTTGTATTGAGAGTATTTTATTGTATTTCAATGTATTATTGTTTTAAATAAAGATGGATACAGTTAGGTTGAAAATACAGATGAATACATTTATATTGAATGCATAACTAATTGATGAATAACATAAAAATGATAAAACTAATAATGTATTTAAAAATATTGTTGTATGAACTCAAATACATATAAATATATCTAAATACAATAGTCAAAAATCACTGTACAAAATAAAAATCAGTGTATGCCTTATCGAATACATATAAATACATCTAAATACAAGAAGAGAAAACCATTATATAAATATGTGCCTTATCGAATACATATAAATACAAGAAGAGAAAACTACTGTACAAAATAAAAATACCAAACCTAATCCTAATCTCATTAGCCACTGCCACCGTCTCCTCTGTCCTTTCCTCTCCCATGTCAACATTTGAAATAAATTAAGCAAAATCACTGTACACTGGATAAAAAATTTCCTCTATCAATATACTTGATAAAATCAAGTTGAGTTCTTGGACTTTATGGGTGATGGCGAAAAGGACCCAGACAGTAACATCAGATGAGAAACAAAGTTTGAAGGGAAAATCAATGTAGAGTTTTGATATGATGTTGCTGTTACAGTGCAAGTTTATAAGGGATTTGTCAACAAATTTTCACCATCACCCATCCGCAAAATCTACTCTAGGGTTTGAGAACAATCTAGAGAGAGAACCTGGAAATAAAGAAGAGAATCGTGGTTCAACAACGGGGAAGACAATTGTGTTGTGAGAGAGAGATCGTGTAGTGAGAAATAAGATACTATACGGTAATTTTGGGAGAAAATAAACTGAAAGAATGAGAGAGAAAAATATTGGACAACGTATTTAATGACTTAACTGTAAGAAGTGACCATAAATACATATTTTGCCATAAAAATTAAAAGGTAGCTATAGAAAATAATATTTTAAAAGGGTTTTTATTTATAATAAATAGGGTGTAAAGTTTTGCTAGAAGAGGTAAAATTTCCAAAAATCAACAGTGGCACAAAAGTATCATATATTTGACATTTCCCTTTTTTCTCTAGGCATTTGTCCACCAACATTTCTACTTGGCCCAATCCAAACTTTCTTTGGGCTTTCCCTGTAAACCTCAACCACAGTCCAAGCCTATTGTCTCTACTAATCTTCAAGAAGTCCGTAGCTGTGTTGTTTGACCTCAAACAACAAATGGCCACAACAATCTCATTGTAGTTAAAATCCATGAAGTTGCCAAAAAAATGTTCGAATTCTATCGATATGATTATAGTAGTGCCACAAAATTTGTTTAATTTGAAATTTCTACAAGCTGACAAACACAACAGATTGAGAACGATGAAAAATTTCAGCAAAAAAACGTTATGAAAGAGCCATTTCAAGCCATGACTGTTGGATCAAAAAATATAGATCTTGGTTCAACTAATTAAATTTATATAAATGAGGGTTAATTTTAGTTAATAATAATATCCCAAATATAAAGTTCTCAGAAATACAATAAAGACTATGTAGGAATACTTTAATGGCACCAGTAGCACACAACAATATTCAAGAAGTCAAAAAAATAATAATGTAGCATTAGATGAATAGCAATAAATAATATACAAGTAAATAGAACAAATGAGTTATCCAAGAAAGGATAAAACCAATAAATATTTTTTTTGACAATGATGAGTGATGGATGATCCTTCGAATATCTTGGTTATTCTCGGATCCAGTAAAAAAGTGTAGACAAGAATCTTAATGAAAATGTGATGTTTGTATGCTTGCAATAAGATCCAATTCTCTCTCTAAAGTCAAAGTGTATTCTTACAAATGAATATCACATGTCTCTATCATTGTGTCTCTTTCTATTTAAAGGAAACATTTTTCTAAAAAACCATAATAGTACAAATGCAGAGAATATCTACTCGAATATTCTCTTTAGTATCCTATCTTGAAACTAGCCGTTATAAAGCTGTCAAGAGTACTCGCCCTCGGCATTGATCCTTGTTGAATCCTCGACTTCAGCCCTTGTTAACTCTTCGACCACAGACTTCGCTGCTTCTTAGGTCATTTTAACAAACAACAACCTGGGAACATTTCCCCCAATATATTCTAAAGATAGATTTTAACTCATACAATTAGTCCCTCCGCTTATTAAGTCCAGCTTTGCTGGCGGGTTCGATGAGCGGATCATATTGTTTGTGGTCGAGATAATTGAGCGAGGTACGCAGGTCGTGGTGGTTGCGGCAAACAGGCAGTGTGGCCCTCTGTGGGCCGCATATTTCAAATGCTTCAAGAGTTATGATGTCCACGAGTTTGGATGATGTCATGCATCATTATGACGTATATTCTCGATGCGTCGCTTTGTTTTGCGTGTGACCTCTGATTAGACCTGCCACTTCGATTCTGGTGGCAATAATAATTAGCCGTTTTTGGTTTTGGTGCCCTGACCTTTATAAATAGAGGTATTTGGACACGATTTTGAAGTTTAAATTTTCTATTGTTTCCAAATCCCATACCTTTCTTTTGCTATTTTCTCCTCCGATCTTCTTTTCTCTGTTCCCGTGATTTACATTGTTCTTTACTCCCCATCGATTGATACTTTTCTTCCTTATATTGAATCATGTCTAACGTACCTTCTGAGTCTGGTGAGGGAAGTCGTGTTGCTCCCTTAGCAGTGGTGTTTCCCTCTCATGGGGGAGGTGTTTCCCCCATTGCTGAGGATGAAATATTCTCGCCGGTGGAGGTTGATAATCCCGCGTAATCCCGGTTCCAAGTCCGATCTTACCAAAGCACCGGATGTAGCGCCTGAAATTTTTAAATCAATGATGATGCCTAAGGAATTGGCGGAGCTCAAGGCCAAATTCGGCCTTCCCAACAATTTTAAGAAGATCCCGACCGAAGGGACGTGATACAGGTACATCGCCCTAGGTACTGCGCCCTCTATGCCTACCCTTCCCAAATTGACTATTCTCTCCCTCTCCTCCCGCTAGTGGAGGAATTATTTCGCCACTACGGTATTTTTCCGGCTCAGCTTGCACTGTATGTCTACAAGGTGATTAAGATGCTAACCAAATTCGCCGAGCTAGTAGGGCTGAACTGACGCCACGGTACTTGATGCACCTGTTCGCCCCTGGCTTTTATAGGGGACGATGTTGAACCTTTGCCACCGAGGAGGCAAGTACTTGGTGGTGAAAATGGACGACAAAGCTAATCATTAGTTTTTTCTTAACTTCTTCTTTGTCGGGACCAAGGACGTCGTGGCCAACGTCAACAGCTTCCCTGAAGCTTGGACCACACTCATGAGTGCCCTGTTTCCTTTTACTTTTACTTTTGATTCTGAACTTTGATTGACAATTTTTTTTGTTATCCTTTTGTAGCCAACGGTCAGTCTCCTTCTCTGGCCTCTCATATTTCTGACTGGGTCGAGTGACTCCTCCCTCACAACATAGGGATCCGTGATTGGCCAAGTTTTTCAAGAAATTCGAGCATGTTCTCCCTTCAACTGGTAATTTCCTTTCATTGATCGTAGCCACTGTCTCCTATTATATGTAGATTCATTTTGCAAACTTAATACTATTTTTTTCTCAGGAAAAGTTTCTCGGAGGAGCGGGGCACCAGTGCATTCTTTCTGTAAAGCGGCTGCTGCCT